TTTTTACGTTTTGACATTTTACGACCTGTTTATTTTAGAAGCATTATTTTGGGTATTCAAGTTCAGTAGCAAAACTAACTACATATAATGAAACTAGGAGTATATTCATTTGATGGTTCGGCCCGTAGTTCTTGATAATTTATTGGACTTTTTTCAAATGTAGATCCTGGTAAAGATACAAGACAGTTTTGTGAGCAAAAATAAAATTATGTCATCAATTCCACTATACAATTCATTAGCTTAATATAGACATGAAGCTGTCCCAAAAGTAACGATTATATTAGTTATTTATAAAGACGACAACCATTCGTATTTTAAGATGAACGAGCAATGATGAGTTTTGAATGAATTAGATATCAGCTTTGTTCTGACCAAGATCAACTGGTTCATTATCTATGACCATTCATTGAAAGCCCAAATACCAAAGAGTATAATAATATGATAGTTATTTACACAATTTGAACCATGGTAAAATTATCACAATGCATAAAATCTCAGAAACAGACAGGAAAATTACGCTCCAAAATCATTTAATACACTCATGACCAACTAAGACAAATTAAACTATAGTAGTTAGATGCGCAATTTAATAGTTTATTAATTAAAATGTAATTACATAACTAATGTATCACAAAGCCATGCGGACACTTCCACAAAGGAATGAATTAAGGGTGATAAACATGAATATGAATTTAAAATCTGTCATCCAACAAGCTGAATGTTTAATGCTGACCGTAAACAAACGGAGTGGGTTCGGTTGTGTGTTTAATAATGACTAACTCTGTTTATCCGTGGATTACTCACTCAAAGCTGTTGTGGCAATGTCAACGTTGTTCTGCGATCACACTAATCTCACATAATGTCGGCCAATAACAGTATAGGATACAAAGCTACCATTTTACACGAAATCAGGAGTAATAAAATTAAAGAACGGTAAGCGATGTATTTATTAGGTAAAATCAATTATAATTTTGAATATTTGGTAGATATTTGAACGAAAACCAGTCGAAAAGGTAGGAAAAATGCTGAAGATGAAAAACTATATTTTTACCAGAGGAATAATAACTTAGACTTCACGTCAAATAATAATTAATAAATAATGTTACCTTCTAGTGTTTCAAGTTTGTTGTAGTTTACGACATTCATAAAAAAGAAGAACTGCCCCCCAAAAAAAGGTCAGCTGTGTATTTGACCTTTTAAGTCCCAAAGGTTGATAATATATGCCATATAAAGTATCGTAACCAAACCTTCACTTACAACCATCCATGAGAGCACAACTCGTCAAAATTGTCAGACAACTGTACCTGACGGATGCTGCAACTCATGAAGAGTATGTGTCAGAGCTTAAGAAAAGGAATAACTAAAATAAACTGTGTATTGTTTGGGTGGAAGTCAACGAAATCTGTTGTTTCTAGGTCACATTTAAAATCCAGAATTTTCTTATTCTTCCTGTGTCTTTACCCACTGAATAAAATTCGTTTCTTAAGAATATGGAATTTCGTTGACAAAATGAGGGCAAACATAATGTAAACAGGTGCAGTTAAATCAACGAATATTCCTTGTAGCTCAAAGTCTCAAAGTGTTTTATTTTATATTAACTTGACTGTATTATTTGTTTGTAGCAAATACTAAAACAATGGAAGTAGTAAACCAAGTTTATCAGGTAATGCATACACTTGGGACACATGCAAACTATTTAACTGGAAATATAAACTCATACGGTTGTTTCTGTTAATGCATTTGTTTGTCGTTTCCAAGTAATTGAACTAACTTTAGGAATTATTTTCAGTTGAACTCGATTTTTATGATATTTGGTTTAAAGGTGTAAGGCGGTATAAATTTGAATGAGTTCACGTACCAGCATGATCGTACCATAGAAACAGGGTTTTACGGGGGGTTTTATAGGGTAAAAATAGTTTTTTATCATTTTTCACCCTCAAAACAAAAATATTCCCAATTTCTCTCTAGACCATTTTAAAGAGCTTAAAACACAGAAAATTTAGTTTACCAAAGTGTTTTTGTACAGTTATTGGTAAGGAAGAAAATTAAAAAAAAAACTTTCAAATTACAAATTCCCATGTTAATTATATGGAGAATCTTACCAAATGTTGTAGTTTCCTTATTTATGTGTATATTTTGATCAAACTTGGCAAATTTATTTATTTTATACTAAGCTACTAATATTTTACCATTGACTATTGGATATTTTACTAAAAATACACTTCCCTAGCCTTCCTGTAGCAGCAAACCTTGGTACTCGTTAAACCTAATGTTATTTAAATACATATATAATTTGAAATGAATTCAGACAAATGGAAATTTGCTTAGTATGCAGGTTTGTTGAGGCGGGGAAACCGGTATTTTTTTAAATGTTTGTTATGGACATTTGTGAATAGTTTTTTTGACCAAAAGTGTTACAGCTAAATGTTTATCCTGTTAATCCACTAAAATGTCACTCTAAATATTCCAGCAAGATCCATGAATTACACTTTTCCATGGAGCTGTGTTAATTATAAACAGTGATGTAACAACGGACAAAAGCTGTGAAATCAAGACAATACAGTTAACCAGCTACATTCTCTGTTGTCATGTGTTCTCATTAACTTTTAATTACAAATGCTTTGTTGGTTAGCTTTGCGGATTCTGTTTGCTTTGTTGATATTTTTAATCAATCACAGTGTCGTGTTTGACATATTAAAGTAATTCAAATCCGGATTTTTGAGGTACAGTAGTTTATGTAATCATGAATTACATTTTTTGTACTTACAATTTGTTGAGCTGTGACGGTTAACTAGGTAAGTAATTTAGTCTTGCATTATCTCCAACAGCTCAGAGGCTAGTGAAATTAATTTTAAGTTAATTTAAGTTTGAATGTAATATGAACATATAAAAGAGCTTTGAGATAATCTTAGAAATAACAGTTCAATTCTCGGAGTAAGTATGCAATAACACTCTAGCTAGAAGCTGCTATGGACCATTTCCATCTGGATACGTGATTCTAGCTTAATGTGATCACTATTCAACAATGGTTATCTTTACTAAAATACACAAATACGTTCCCCAAAGCAATGACTAAGACTTACTCAAACTGGTTTTTGGTTAGTTTATTTTATTGGACACATTCACTAGGAATGTATACGTTTAAAATCAAATATATGTATATACCTTTGAGTATGCTATTACCGAAATTACTATTCAATCACTGGTTAGGCCCCTTTACAGCATCGAAGGCAACAAGCCTCTTTTTTAGCCACTGCCCAGTCTAGTGTTTTAGTTTTAAGTAAATTTGACGCAGTCATACCGATTATCATCGGTCAACGACGGATTACTTTGCGATATTTACCTGAGTTTTCGTCAACTGTTTGGAGCCCTTACCTGAATGAGCAAATCGAGAGTATGGAGAACGTGCAGAGCCGTTTTATTCGTCTGGTTGGTGTGCTCATGGGTTTCGTCTACCGCACTGTTCCAATCCATGATCTACAACTTCACTTGAACTTGATGCCACTACACATCCACCACGTGTAATCAATGACCTACTGTTCCCGAGGAAGTTGATTAACTCGGACATTGATGGCCCTGATCTGCTATGTAAGTTGGACTTCCACACACTTCGGCCAAGGCCACACTTTACTACAGTAGTAGTATAGTGTGGCCTTGCTTCGGCACCTGCGCCAAACCCATCTCTTCGCTAGACGACGTCACAGGTTAGTGACGTCTCATTTTCTCGACCGTGTGCACAGGCTAGAATTGTACCCCCCTCATAAAACTTTTATATTGTTATACACGAGTGGTTCAATTAAATCCACCGACATCCAAAAACTTTAAGTTCCGGAATTGAAACCCCCCCCCCAATTAGAATTCATCGCTTATTTGGTCAGTATACGGGGTGGAATTGTACCCTTCTGGAGTGTGTACCCCTCGTCAGTCTAGCCTTCCTACTAGGACTATAATTGTGCCCCTGGAATTGTACCCTTCCTTATTTGACTCAGACCTCTTCATGCACTGAAATTGAAATGGGCATGATAGCAATTCCTTTATTAAAAGATTAAAGTGAACTAATTACCAGCTTATGGCATGGTTATTATGTACACACTAGTTAAGCTTCATTATCACATTTATTTGAGAGACCAACTTTAATGAAGTCAGAATTTTAATCGAAATACAAGTTAAATGTTGAATTGAGTGAAATAATTAGTATGCGAGTCAAGAGTCTTAATTCCGTTGATCCGTAATACAGAAATAGGAACAGTAAAATAATCTATGTATATTATAATTTCTAAAGTGCATTTTTTGTCGGTACACCATAACTTCCTTAATTCTTCGCAAATGTTCATAAATTAGTTGTCATTTTAAAGCGTTTAATTTAACCCACTACGCTAGGGAAGTCTACAGATTACAAATTGTTCAGTATATTTTTGTAAAAACTATCTCATTCAGCAAGTAATTTGAACTTGAAATATTTATTCCAACTGAAAGATTAAATTAAATTATTTAAATTAAAATAAAAGTTAATTACGATCAAATACCATTCCAATCCTGTTTACAATCCAAATGAAAACCAACAAACTTTACAGATTTAACCATGGATTTAGTCTCTACTTTCAACTTTGTTAAAGTATTAAGTTAAAAGTAAAAAAAAACCAGACTACCATAATTGGTTCTCACTCTTATTATTATTACTCGATATGCTTATATAGTATTATCATAGCAAAAAAGAATTTCTGTCTGTGGTATTATGTTTCATTATTGTTAATCATGGGTGAAACCAATATTATGAATTATGAATTTACATAAATTATGAAGTATTGTGATTCCTTCTTATTAAAATATAGTGATCAGTAATTATAGTGTTAATAAGTAATAAAATATTAATCATTAAGAATGAGAATATAAATTGAAAATTGTATTGTATTGTTTTGGGGCCTACCCCTAACAGGGTGCCAACGCCTCCTTTGAACTGATGCAACTAGACTATTTAATTTACCCTCCAAATTCCTTAAATGGGAGATATTGTGGCTGATCCTCTTCTACTCGCGGCCTGCCTTCTTGCAGGAAGCCGCTGGCTTCAGGCCCTCAGCCGAAGAAGGATGGATCTAGAAACTGCCTGTTGGGGTGGCCGCCTAGGCGATGTAGGCGGAATCAATCTCACTGTCCTCGAACTTCCAGATCGAAGGACAGGTGTTGAAACCACAGGACTCATTAGACGAGAAACAGAGAGAGGCTCTTTTGTTATCCTTTTATCTGTTATATTGTATAGCATTAAATACTTACGACGCGTACTTACGACGTTTCAATATTGACTCCGGGCTTTGTAAATTTTCAAAGTTTGATGGTGAGTAAAAGTTAAATTTCCCGAACAAGTTTTAACAACTTTTCCTGAAAAGTATTTTTAAAACAAACTAAGCAATTTTGTAATCAAGTTGTTTAAGGTTAAAAGAAAATTTCTTAAGTATCCATATGGTCCAAGGTGAAGTAAATTTGTGAAGCCAAATGTTTGGTCAATTTCTTCGCAATTATATTTCCTTAGTACGATCATTATTTTTCTGAACAGGCTTAAAAATCCCTCCAACATATGTCACTTTATGTCACTTTTTATCGACCTCTTCCCTATGAGTGGCGAATCTTTAAAAAATTGTTGGACTGGACTGCTACATTGAAATGTTGTTATTTCTGTTTCCAAGTACAAGCTTATTATCTCAATTTATTTATTTATTACTGTTGTTATCTAGTATAAGTGTTATTTAATATCATTGTTGTCAATTAATAATTAGTCTATTCTTTGTTAAATTGTTATACAGATTTATCTATTTTTAGTCTTAATTTGATCAGGTTTTAAATTTAGTGTATTGTCAAGTCATTCATATTAATTAGTTAAGACAAAAGTCCCATTACATGTTTGGCTTGACTCTTAAGATGTAGTCATAAAAAAGTCATTTAAAATTTGTAAATTGGTTTGTTTGGACCGTAGGTAGCAAAATAAATAAATAAAAGCGACATAGACTTCAAGTATCCAAGTACTGTAAAACTTGAGAACATCGCTTTATATTCATTAAGATGTTTATATTATATGCTTAAAATTTCTTAGAGGATCTTCCCTCACAATCTTTATAATTATTATATCAATCGGATTTAATGAAATTGTAATAAGTTTTGATTTACATTTAGTTGAACTGTCAAATTAAATATTCTTACTGACTGTTCTAACTTTTTACTTTATATTCTAAAATTCAGCCTACCTTTCCAATAGTTGATATGGGGTTAGTTAAATAAACGATTCGGTTTAAGCCAGTGCCAAAGAGTAGCATACATATTTTACGAAGAGTCTAGAATGCTTACATTCTAGGTTCAAAGGCTTTTCAGTGATTTCAGACAAACATTAGGGAATATTTGGATAGTTCCACTGTGAAAGCAGAGGTAAACCAACAACTTAGTGCATTACAAACCATCCTCAGAAACAAATGCTAACAATCTGTTTAACAAATATAAGAAAATAACAGTCATAATTCACTTAGTTGTTAGGACATTCTTTAAAAACGTATGCAATTTAAATTGTATATTAATGTGACATTTTTATCCCCAGGTTTGTTAAGGGTTAGTTGTAGGCTAAACATTACACATTAAAACAAATGTAAACTACAGTGTCAAAATGCAATAAAATGCCTAAGGTCTTAACCAGGTACTTTGATTGGAGCTTTTAAAATTTAAGTAATAATAAAAAAATCTGTTTTGTTGTCAAATGCAATTGCACTACCAATGGAAGTTTTGTTGTGTAATGTTTGAAATTTCATGTTAGCTAACTTCCCCAAGCTATACTATGAATGGTGGAAATGCAAGAACAAGACCCGGAACCGATTTACTTTTGCGGGAATATGGGGTTTCCCATATTTGACCCTCAAAACATAATATTTCACAATTTCTTTGGAACCATTTTGGGAGGCAGAACTCATATAACTAAATGCAGTATATTGACGTTATTGAGCCAAACCTACCTTAATTTTTTTATAATTACAACATTTCTTATTTAATCCACTTGCTAGGGGGGTTCCTGTGTGCATTTTATGTATAGAAAAACACCCTAAGGGATCATGTAGGTACTATATGGGTTATCATTTTTCACGTGGGTGCCAGCTTGGCAGAGTGGGCATAACCTCAGAATCCGCCATTTTAAAAATGGCGGCGGCATTTATTACATGAAACTCATTAGGAGCTTATATCTCGAAAACGGTAATATATAGCGAGTTACTTTTATAACAATAAATGTAGCTTACACAATAAGGAAAAACTTTTGTATTTACAAAAATGCCCTAAATATAACTATTTAGGAGTAGTTGAGCAATTTATGTTAATTTGATCTATACATTTTTACTCTGTTTGACAAAAAATTCTAATATCTTTAAAAAAATAAAAAACTGTTTTTTAAATTTGGCACATAGCACTAATTGCTCTTTACATCTAACGTCTAAATACCCCTGTCGCAGCAAACCTGCAGGATCAGCAAACATTTACCTGGCTGCATTTCTACTAAAATATTAAAATTGATCGATTGATTTCCTATTTAAATGACATTGATTTGTAATGAGTACTTACGTTTGCTGCTTCAGGGAAGGTATTTAGGTGTTTTTTATATATTTTTATTGAAATGTTGATAGCTTAGTATGAATGAAACAAAATTTTTGAAATTTGACTATAATATATCCATAAACAAGCAAACTAAAACAGTTTATTTATTCTCCATAAGAATAACATGGGAATTTTAAACTTAAAATTTTTTTTTTTAAATTATTTCCGTAACTTTTGGGCATACAACGCTTCAATATACAAAGTTATTTATTTTTTGAGCTCTACAAAATGGTTTCGTTCATTATAAAATGTCGTGTTTTTAGGGTCGAAAATCGTAAAAATCCATTTTTACCCCATTAAACTCCCCATAAACCCCCGTTCCCATAGTCCGATCGTGCTGGTATAATAGTCCGAATTCGTCTGAAAACGAAGGTTTACACGTTTGTGATAAATTTCATCAAAATTGGATCATTTTTGCTCGAGTTATCAAATTAAGTCGTAGTTCTGTCTTCGGATACAGATGTCGTAGTGTTGGCTTTACACTTTATGAATGGATTCACTTCGGAAGGTTTGCAGGATTTGTGGATGCGACTTGGTACAGCCAGAACTTCATGATATGTACTAGTTCACATTATAGCAAACAGGCTTGGAAGTAACCTTTGCTCAGTTCTCTCAGCACTCCATATTTTAACGGGCTGTGACTTTGCCAGCAAATTTGGAACAAAGCGTGCTACCCTAAAATGTAATCCAAGTACAGTACTTTGCTAATGGACTTTGGAAAAGATGAGAAGGAAGAGATAGAATAAAGTTTGAAAAACACAGTGAAGTATCTAGTTCACATTAAAAAAAAGGATACTCAGTGTGAAACTATGATTGATCTAAGACACTGGATATACTTACACTGTCACTGTACAAAGAATATCCTTAGCTCGTAAAGATTTTCTGTCTGGTAGAGCTACTATACAGCATATCTTACGTGCTTTTTATTGTAGCCTACTCCAAATCCATTGCATGGAAGAACACGTTTTTCAACTCGATCCTTTGAGTTTTGGACACAGTGATGGTGGTTACTCTTTGCCGCAATGCTCACAAGTATATTGTGAACAGTTTAATTTTTCTGATGACTACAAAAGGGAACAGATATAATTCCTCTTAACCCAAAAGGCTTATAATTTAGATCCAATAACTGCGCTCAAATTTTATGATCCACAAAACTAGTTCAATATCAATACAATCAGTCCAAAGCAGCCTACCACCAAGGACAATGTCAAGGTACTGGTTGTGTTAACGCGACGTCAATGCTTGGCCGATGCACCAACTTTGCCGCCGGTCCCGTTCCCGCTCCATCGCCGTTTTAATAATAAATGTTATGAATTATAATAATAATTTCTATTACATCCGTAGATTTATTATTATTTGTAATAATAAAAATTCAGTATATAGAAAGGTTTATATTTATTTTTATATTTGTATGCGTCATTTAATAACAAAAAATTAATTTAAAAATATGTTATATTATTTTAATAGCTTATATATCTGCCAGAAGCTTCTCGAATGCTTTTTGCAGGTTTTTTACCCTAAATGCGAAGAAATAATTTTTGCTATGTGCCAAATTACAAAATAACAGCTTTTTTTATAATTATTTGATTTTTTTGGCAACAGAGATAAAATGTATAGGTTAAATACTATGAATATGACAATTTTAATATTTTAGTAGAAATGCAGCCAGGTAAATGTTTGCTTAGTCTGCAGGTTTGCTTCGGTGGGGGTATTTTGACCTTAAATATAAAGAGAAATAAGTGCTATGTGCAAAATTAAAAAGGAACAGTTTTTTAAAGATATTAGAATTTTTTTGTCAAACAAAGTAAAAATTTATAGGTTGAATTAACATAAATTGCTCAACTACTCCTAAATAGTTATATTTAGGGCATTTTTGTAAATACAAAAGTTTTTCCTTATTGTGTAAGCAACATTTATTGTTATAAAAGTAACTCGCTATATATTACCGTTTTCGAGATATAAGCTCCTAATGAGTTTCATGTAATAAATGCCGCCGCCATTTTTAAAATGGCGGATTCTGAGGTTATGCCCACTCTGCCAAGCTGGCACCCACGTGAAAAATGATAACCCACATAGTACCTACATGATCCCTTAGGGTGTTTTTCTATACATAAAATGCACACAGGAACCCCCCTAGCAAGTGGATTAATTTTAACAGAACCCCTCCCCCCCAAAAAACAATATTTGCCATATGAACAATAAACATACCAGTTCTTCAAAACTTTCAAACAATCTGTTAATTCATGGTTAATGTTGACTTTGAGCTCAAATTACACAACGGATATAATTTAAATTTGTAATAGCTAAAATAGCAAATCTTTAGTTTCCATTTCCTTAAACTAATAACACATATTGCATACCATTAACGTTATAAATATAGTACATAATATTAAAAATCAAACGGTAAAACATTTAAACATTACCATAAAGCTATACAAAGAAATCCATAATTAATATTTATAGCCTAATGCTCATCTACTTTACAATATTGCCAACCCAACCAAATAAGCCAAAGAGCTATGGCTACATGGATTGCTGTGAATAGCAATGCAGTTTTA